TGTCAGAATCAAAGTTCTCCACAGGAAAAGACTGGTTTTTGGAGGATTTTTTAAACCGAAATTTTCAAATGAAATCACGGGGTTTTTTTTTTTTGCTTTGATTGAACAAATTACTGTGCTGCAATTTAACGCAGACCATGAGTTTTAAACTGCAGCTGCCATTCTCCTGCAGGATGAAAAGTCTGGTCTCAGAGCCCATACCTCACGAGCATCCCACCAACACTCCCCCACTCCAGCTCCATTTTGCCAAGGCGCCCGCTGGAGAAGGAGCGGACGCTCTGGCTTGGACCGACGCAGGGCATCGCGCCTGGGGAGCTGCCGAAACCAGCCCTGCCCGTGGCGAGGAGGCTCCGGCAAAGAGGAACGTCCCGAAATGCTCGGCAAGACTATTTTCGCCGACGTGGTGTAAAAGAACTGCACGTGCCTCTGCGGGTATGGCCTGGGGTCCAGAAAAGCCCTGGACCAGACGGTTGGTTTTAAACACGTTCACTGAAGATGGATGGTTAAAAGAACAAAACCAATGTGCGAAGCAAACCTCACACTGTCAACCTCTAGTTTAACGTACGTGAGTTTAGAAAAACAGCTTATATCTAAATCCCGGTTTTAAAGGGAATGGTTTTATTCTTAATTACAGTAAACACGGATGAGGACTTATCTCTAACTATTAGTTTATTAACACAGTGGGAAACAAATAGTTCTGGGAAATTGCACTTGAAAAATACATTGACTATAATTAGATGTAAATTAATTAGCACTTAGTATGACACACTAATGAGACAGAAGGTGTGGGGTTTTTTCATTGCAAACTTCTACTTCTATCTTAGCTAATCAAAGTATTTTAATATTACGAAGTCTCAAAAAGTAGGAAATAATTTATTGTTTGAAAGCATAAAGATTCTTGTAAAAAAAACCTTTCATCAAGAACTTTAATAATTTTAGAACTCTTTTATGTTGTCCTAGCCGAAAAGTAGGTAAAAAAGTTTTCTTGTCTGCCTCTCTTCGAATTTTTTAAAAAGCTTGTGTAATATCTTTCTCCATAGTGAGCTGATACACAAAGTAGCACAACATTTTTACTTTTAGATCGTTCCCATTGCTCCATTCGCTTTAGCTCTCAGAGTTCAGAGGTTTGAAAAAGGATCCCAGCAGAGTTTTAACCTGAATGGAAACTCTTAATAAGCAGGGATGAAGGCTCCAACCCCCCTCTGCCAAAATAAGGGCGTCACGCTGCCAGGCGGAGGGCTAGGCAGAGCTTAACAGCGACTAGGGGAAGACTTGAGCTTAAAATTGAGAATTGCGTCTTGGTTCTTGCAAGGAGAGAGGCTTAAGCAGGGGGTTCAACTTGCTTTTTGGGATGTTAAGGCAGCTCCTCCAGGGTTTTCCTGGAGGACTTGGTTCCACTATCCAAAAGCCTTGTATCCAAAAACACCGAGTCACTGACGCTGCGGCCATCGCAGGACAAATTAAGACTAAAGAGGTTTTAACAGTTTGGCTGAGATCTCCCACCATCAGTGAGCCAAGCTTTCCTAATCGAGGTTTTTTCCTTGTCACCACTTCTCTAGTCTTCTGGTTAGAAAAGATTTTCTGGACAAAGACGACGGGTATGTTCAAAGGAATCTACAGGAATTAGATGCTCCTCTCTCACTGCACCTAATTCATCCAAGGGGAATTGGGCACCTCACTCTCATATGGCTTGGTCGAGTGGACACTAAAATCAACGTGAGTACCGTTAAACTAAATTACCTTTGAGTCAGGCCCTCAAGCTTTGGGATTCCAAGCCTAAGTGTAAAAAACGAAAGCAGGAATTTAGAAGAAAAAAAAAAAATCATACTTTTTTAGAAACATACAGAAGCAAAGGGTACAAATTAGTTCCCCCCTTAGGTGATGCATAGAGTTTTCTGTGGGCTCGCTGCACATAAGTAGATTCATCATTACAAAATAAATTAAATTAGGTCAAACCATCATTTCCACCTAAAAGCAACCATACGTTGCACCATGCGGCACTTATTCATAATAAAAAGAGTTTAATAAATATCTCATAAACGGCGATCATTTTTGTTCTATTTTAAAAAATACAAAGTTGTCATCCGTTCTGTTAACACTCAGTTCCCATCGCTGCAGGAAGTTTTGCTCGTCCGAACGTATTAGCTTCTCGTTTTCTTACGCACGTTGCTTAGATATCTTAGTTTCCAGTAGCGTTAGTGTTGCATTTGTGAAGCAGTGAGGAAAACAGGAATGCAGTCGCAGGGAACCGGCGGCTTCGCCCGCGTGGGCCACCCCGGCTCAGCTCTGCTTCTCGCTCTTGCTATAAGTAGTCTATAGGGGCTCCTGACAGACAGCACTCAGCACCTTGCCAGATCAGGCACTAGGGCTAGTCAAAATGAGAATTCAAGTTTTCTAAATGTTAGGCAAGAAATGATATTTGCAAATATCCTCAAGTCCCACCTACTTTAATCCTGCCCTTTCTAGGTGTTTCAAGATGCACCCACCCTGTTCTCCCCCACCTGCGTTGCCCTGAGGGACATCTTACACTCAGAAATGGGAGACCCCCTTATCACCCCATCAGGGAGTCTGTAACGCTCAGTATGTGGGTGCTCTATGGTTTCAGTAGCACAGGTCAGTTTTAGAAAGTGTTGCCTTCAAAAATATTTTCTTTTTTTCTTTTTTCTTTTTTCTTTTTTTTTTTTTTTTTCCTGAAAGAGGCAAAGTTTATGCTGTGTCAAAGGAAAGTGGCTCACTTGATGAGTAGTTCGTATTCGTCCTTGGGCTCGGCTATAAATTATATTTGCAAGTTTGTATTAAGGGAATTTCAGTTTTAGAAAAAAAAGTCATACAACAATTTTTCTGTAATCCTTTAAAACACACTGGTGGCAAGTCCTTTGCAGTTTCTCCGAGACTTTGTACACACTACGGAAGTGCAGGAACAGGAACTGCCTTCATCTCATGACACCAAGAACTGAAAGAAACAAACTCCGAATAGCTTCAGAAAAAGCTACGAGTGTGTAATATCTTTATGTTGGTCCAGAGGATCTCCACTTGCTACCTGAACACATGCCACAATTAAAGAGGTGAGAGGGTATTTTAACGTCGCTCATTCTCTTTCATGACAGATCCATTCTGTTTCAATATTTCTTCAAAGAGCGTGAGGAAGGAAGGTACTTCAAACAGGTGTCGTTCTCCTGTTGACCATGTTGACATGGAGTCCTTCCTTAAATTCCTTCTGAAGGAAGTTGTGAACCTGCAGAAAACTGGCTTCTTGGTCCGCGTTGTAGCTGGCAGCCGTTGTAACCTTCAGAGGCTCTCTGGAAAAAAAAAATCATGGGAATGGTGCTTGCTATCTTCATGCCAACCGGAGAAATGTCTCTAGATGGAGAAGGCTCTGTAGATCGAGAACTGGATCTGGACCTCCGCCTCCTGTACCTATAACTTGGCATCCTGGCATAAGGAGAACTGGAAGAAGTCTTAAGGAATTCCCTCTTGGTCTTAAACCTCAGCTCTTTGTTCTTCTCAATATAAATGTTCACAGCCAGAACACCTATGGTTTCAGCCACAATAAAAGACAAGGCTCCGAAATAAAAAGACCAGCCATAGTTGTAATGGTTCTTTTTGTCCTCATCTCGCTTGTCGCTTGGGTCACCTGCATTGCTTGATATGTAGACAATGATCCCTATGATATTACTTAGTCCTAGAGAGAGAAAAACATAAATCAGTGGTTATGTGGCTGGGAAGATAAAATTCAAGCCACGTTACTTTCTGGACCTGAATGGTTTGAAGATTATGACCAGAAATTTTTCTACATTTATTTACTCTTTCGTTTATCTCAAGATTTCATTTATTCTTGAAAAAGAAAGAACAAATCTGGGTCGCATTTGCTCACAAGGATCCCGAAATAACTCACCCTCTCTTCTTTGTCATGATGGGAAAGAAGTAGCTTATGGGAGTTCGCTAATATTGTTAGCGGGACTCTAACATTCAGAATAATAATAAAAATATATTTTGAGCTCAGGGCTATCGTTGTTCACCTTGATCAAGATAAATTCTCTGCCACCTTGCTGAATTTTCATCTAAATGCAGCATGCTTAATCTGAGCTTCAGGGAAAGCTATTAACGATGTGGCTGACTCTCTCGGATGTTTCTAGTGTTAAAAATGGGCTCACCTATCATAGGTGAAATTTTTCTGCCGTCATATAAAAGAAAAAAAAAAAAAGGCCCTGGATGTAAGAGGCGCCTGATACATCTAATGTTTTATACATTTTAAATAGTGTGAAGCCTGTTACTGACTTTAGCTTCCTTTTTCAGGAAAACCAAAAGCTTTTTGAGAATATACTTAAACGTAATACACAAAAATACGTAAAAAACGTATTTTTGTCTTAAGAAATTTGCTAATGCCCTCAACGCAGGGATACAGGGAGAGAACTGCCAACAAGCTTTTCCACAGGCCTTTTCACTTTAAAAAGGCAGCACTTCTTAAGGACTCAATTTAAGGAGAACATACCTGCTGCGACAAAGAGAATCCCAGCGCTGAGAATAATGTTGTTTTTGCTGTTGTAAATCCTTCCCGCTCCGACACAGAGCCCTCCCAGCAGCAGCAATATTGTGCTTAGGATGGGGAACACGCTGGAGGCACGGACAATGCCTGGAGGGGAGACAGGTAGAAAACCAAGACACAGGCATCATTTCAGATGTCTCCTCGGGTGCTAGTGTGGAGATTACAAAGCCCCAAAACCCCCGGCTTTTGCTGGAATTATCACTGATTCTGCATTTCTGGGCATGTTTTTGGGAGCCGAGGCCAATGGGTGGGTGGCCAATGTGGCACAGACACTCTCAGCTGAGTAGCTTAAATCTTTTGAGCTTTGTCCTAGACAGTCCAGTGTTATCGCCATTACCCGATGCCACCGCGTACAGAACGTTTCTGGCAAAGCATGAGGTAAGTGACAGTAAGACCCAGCACGGCGCTGGAAGCGGCAGTGGGAAATTCATGAGCTGGCCGTGAACCCTAGACGGTTTGGGGGTGGCTTGAGCAGGCAGGTCCCCTCCTCGACACAGGCGCAAGGCGAGCGAGTTACAGCTCTTGACGTCTGCAGCATTCGCGTCGCCAGCGAGCGCAGCTAATAACCCCTTTTTCTTTTGCTGAATATTAAGGACGTTGAAGCCTTTCAGATGTCTAAGGAAGAAATTTTAACAAGTGTGTCTCAGATGTTTGTGTTTAGTTCCCTGGCAGCTAAGTAGAGCCATTTAAAATTCCGTATGCTTCAGTCCGTTCTCCAGCACGGGCTATAAAATCCCTGAAAAAAAACATTTAAAACTCCACTTCAAGCCAGCTTTCGAAGTCGGGTCACTACAAGACTAAGCAGCAATCGAAGGGGAAACGGCAGGGAGGGAACAAAAGGGCTGAGAAGAAATAAACGGGCACAAGAAGCGAAAGTCTGTACCGTAAAACACAGCGGGGTAAAAGCCGGTACGCGTTCCTGAAAGGCAGCGCGAGGAACCAAGTCACGTTGCGAGAGAGAGAGGATTTTTTTGACGAAGGGGAGATGAGGTGCTGAGTGCTGCTGCGGAAAACGGGACCGCCCCTGGCGAG